GCGGGTGTGTCCCTGGAGTACCCATGGCTGTGGCTGTGATGGCCGAGGGGTGAAGGCGTTGGACTCGAAATCCAATAGGGTTTCCCTGCGCAGGTTCGAATCCTGCTCACAGCGAGAGCTTTTACCCACCTGCAGGCAAGTGGGGCTGGGGCCCTGCACCTCACTTCCTCCCTGGGAAGCAGCTCCCGCACTTGGGAACCTGCTCCTTGGCATCTGCAGGAGAGTAAGGGAATGCGCTGGTCAAGGAGCTGTTCACCACTTGCCCTGGGGCCAAGTGAAATCCTCCCCTCTGAGGAGGGATCACCCAGAGAGGGGTGGGGACACCCCAGCCGTGGGATGTCAGTTGTGGGTTTGTCTGCAGATGTTTTTACCACGGGACTGTGGGGCAGTTGGGATCCACACAATTCCCAGGGCTGTGGGATCAAGGGAGAGGGCTGGGGAGATCGATGCAGGCTTGGGGTACGGTTCCACCTTCAGCTGTGGAAGGACCTGGGTCCAGCTCCCATAGTGCTGTCCTCCCTTTTGGCAAAGCCTGCTCTGCTCTTGTCTGGGGAGTACAGAGCTCGTCTGAGGTCAGCTGTTTGCTTTTGTCTCCTTGTTCCTGCCCCACACCCCCCCACCCACCCCAACAGTCACCACAGCTTTGGGCCAGGCAGGGTGAGTGGGGCAACTCCCTCTCTTGGGCGTCTTGGCATGAGGTGCAGGCACCCACGGTGTTCACAGTGCACCACTGCTGTCTCCCCAGTCCTGGGCCAGCCGTGCCTGCAGGAAACCCCAGGGCTTTTCTGGGGGGCTTGGGGGCCTCTGGCAGCCCCACAGCTGGCAGGAAGGGGGCTCTGGGGAGGCAAAAGTACATGGAGATGCTGGGGGTTGAACCCAGGGCCTCTTACATGCAAAGCAAGCGCTCTCCCACTGAGCTACATCCCCCTGGACATGGGCAGGACTGTGCTCAGAGGTCCCTGCTGACCCCCATGGTCCAGGTGCCCCCACAGCCACTGGGGCCGGGGCAGTTATGTGCTGTGGCCACCTCCAAATGCCGGCCTCACATCTTGGGCACAGTAAGATGGACTTCCCTGCTCCGGGCTGTGCCAGGGGCAAAAGGCAGAATCAGCCACCCTCATCAACCCCCAAAATTGTGGGGTGCAGATGCTAGGGGTGCCTTGAGATGCAGCACCCTGGCTTGTTGGTCTAGTGATATGATTGTTGCTTTGGGTGCAAGAGGTCCCAGGCTCAGCTCCTGGATGAGACCTCCTTTTGGAAACCCACCTTCCCCAGTGTTGTGTAGGACCATGGCATAACTGGGGCACAGCGAGGGCAACAGGGCAACAGTGCCCAGCACAGATGAGCTGGTGTCATGCTCTGGTTGGATGCATCCTGTGAGCATGATGGACCCCCAAGACCTGGCAGTGAGTGCTCTGATGGTCTGTTTGTGGGGGCAGGGCCCTGGGGGCAGAGCGGAATGAGTGGTGGGCAGTGGGGCGGCGCTGGGGGTTGAGGAGACTTGCCCAAGCCCCCACCCCTGCCTAGGCCCAGGGGGATGTAGCTCAGCAGGAGAGCACTTGCTTTGCAAGTAAGAGGCCCTGGGTTTGACCCCCAGCATCTCCATGTAACTTTTTCCCAAAAAACCTGTTGTGTCCCTGGGCATCACTGGAGGATGCTTCCCTTTCGTGCCTGCCCTCCGGCAAGGCTCTCAGCTGCACCTGGATTTTTTTCCCAGACGTCAGTAAATACCCCTGGATATGCTCTTTTCCCAGCCCTGGCACATGTAGGTATTGGGGCTGCCAAGGGTTTCTGGGACCGTGTAGATGACCCCCCACCAGGCTGGAGGGCATCTTCTCCCCAGAGGAAGACCCCAGGGCAAAGCTGGGGTGCCCTTACCCCACACACCAAGGCCAAGGGCTGTGATGGCCGAGGGGTGAAGGCGTTGGACTTGAAATCCAATAGGGTTTCCCTGCGCAGGTTCGAATCCTGCTCACAGCGAGAGCTTTTACTTGCTGCCCATGCTGGAGGTCCTGGGGTGGGCACATCTGGGGCCTTTAGGGAAGAGCTGGAATAGGACCATACTGAGGCCTGTGGCTGGATGGGGTTGGGGACAGGGCAGCCTAATCCAGCAGGAACTTGACTGCTGGAGAGCTCTGGGGAGGGAGAGGGCAGTGCTCCAAGCAGCTTCCTTCTCCTGTGTTGGGTACTGGTAGTCCTGTGGGAAGCTGGGCTCAGCTCAACTCCTGGGTGAGGCTCCCTTTTGGGCACCCGTTGCTGGACACAGCTGCTATGGGGATGGGGTGACACTGCCTGGCACAGGGGGGGATGGATGATCTCCACAGTTCGGCCACATCCTGTCTGCTGGGACGGTCCCTGCACTACCGGGAGCAAGGTGCATCCTGCTGCTATGCGGGCAAAGAGACACGGCTCAGCCACA